AACCATCAGTTTTAAAGCTGCACTGCATTACAACTAAAGAATCCTTCTTGCAGGACATCTCATAAAACCCAATGTCAGATCTAAAAATACATTTATCTACAGTGTAGCTACATTATAAACAGCACAGAAACTGACCTATAACCAGACTTAGAAGATTCACCACCAGTATAACCTAACTGATGACAGACAACATCAGCAAAGTCATCATTAGTACCATCATCATAACAAATGTAATTCCAGCCACCATCATGGTAAATTTGAACATCACCATCTCTATTGTTATCACCATTAGTGAGCATCACAGTCCCAGTCCTTGGTATTTGACTTTGCCCTGAAACAATAGTATTTACTTGAGCAAAAAATACCTTCTTTGTTTTACCTTTAACGCTGGACAAGAAGGATAACAACAGAAAGACCAGGATGACCTCCATGATCTCTGGGTACCATCAAGAGTAGATAATAATAGAAGAGAGTGCCCTACTGTCAGTCTGCACGAAGGCCCTACACAATTGTGAACGGGTCCTCTATGGCTTCACTTCCTGATACGTCACTGATAAAATGATATTCATTGCCAATGGCTTATGAATACAATTAGATCTAAAATCATTCGAAATTTGAACCACGTGTAGCTGATAAGCTGATAATTAGGCAATTTCTGAAAAACATAGCAACTTTGAGGGGAAATTTACCTGAATAAAATAAGACCCAGCAACTGAGGAGTCTCACAATGTATTAAGCAAAGGTAAGTACAGTACCAGACCCTTTGGCAAAGGCCCAGCACCCCTGTGAATGATTTGCACAAAAATCAAAGTTGCTTTTGTGGCTAAAAAGTGAAGATGGTGGCTGTGCAAGTAGATGTGTAGTCTGGCCCCGCCTCTTCGCCAGATGTGTATCTCCTAAACAGAAGCACAGATGAAGCTCATTCTTGATAATAGCAAGGAGAGTTGTTTCTATCAGTATATGATAAAATAAAGAGAACAGCTCTTGTATATCAAGGATTTTAGGTCGCCTAATTGTGACCAAGTTTACGGCACTTTTTCTACAGTTATATCTGCTCCATTAAGATTGAAACTAGCAGGACATTTAGACTACACCTTCCTAAGTCTATGGAAAGACTTTAGAGGTTCCAGGTAGCCTGTGAATGATTTGCACAAAAATCAAAGTCAAACAATTCTTATTAAACAAATAATTTTCACGGTGGCATATCTTTGCTTAAACTTCGCACATGAAAACCAAACTTGTTTCTTTATAACAAGCAACTTCTCCTCTTTTAATGGTGCTAGTTACAGCACTGTTCAATTATCTATGTAAGAGAAATAAGTAAAATAGTAGGGGTATCCATTACAGCATGAGCGAAGCCATATGATTTCCTGCACTTAAGGTGTTCAGAGAAGTGTAGGGCCCCGTACGTAGGGCCTTCGTGTAGACTGTGTGCATAGTACAGTGCTTTGCAGGTTGCATGATCCAGTTTCTGCTCACGTGACAAGTATTTCTTGTATGGTGAGAGTCCCCGGGTTTACGAGTTTGCTGGGTCAAGCAACCTGCAAAGCACTGTACCGTGCTTTGCAGGTTGCTTGACCTAGCAAACTCGTAATCACGTGACTTTCTCCATACTAATAATACATGTCACGTGAGCAGGAAGTAAGAAAATTGGGTCAAGCAACAACCTGCAAAGCACGGTACATGGATTGGAAACATCACAGGAAGCCAATACTAAAAACTCCTGAAACGTCACTTCCTGTTAGTCAAAGGGCTACACAGCCAAGAAATTACATTATGATACTGAGCTGTAAAGTTAACATTAA